TCTAGAATGTACACAAGTCCACCTACACAGGAATCAGCACCAGAAGGGCACAATTAGCTTGTGGGTAGTGGGGGAAGTGACTGAAAGGGGGACAAGAGCCTAGCAAGCAGCACTGTTTCCTCCCTGCACACTCCCCCACACACAGCTCCACAATGCAGGGAGGTGGGTTGCCCCACCTTGGCGAACACCTAAAGCTCCGCCCCTTACAATGTTAACAGGTGCGCCAAGACAAAGAAACATGGCCCAAGTGAAAGAACAGATCAAAACTCCAGAAAAAGAACTAAGCGATGAGGAGATAGTCAACCTATCAGATGCAGAGATCAAAACACTGGTAATCAGGATGCTCACAGAAATGATTGAGTACAGTCACAAAATAGAGGAAGGAGTGAAGGCTCTACAAAGTGAAATAAAGAAAAATATACAGGGAACCAACAGTGAAGGGAAGGAAACCGGGACTCAAATCAATGATTTGGAACAAAAGGTAGAAATAAGCATTCAACTGGAACAGAATGAAGAAACAAGAATTCAAAAAAATGAGGAGAGGCTTAGGAACCTCTGGGACAGCTTTATACGTTCCAACATCCATATCATAGGGGTGCCAGAAGGAGGAGAGGAGAAGCAAGAAATTGAAAACTTATTTGACCAAATAATGAAAGAAAACTTCCCCAATCTGGCAGAGGAAATAGACATACAAGTCCAGGAAGCTCAGAGAATCCCAAACAAGTTGGACTCAAAGAGGAACATGCCAAGACACCCAAGACTAAAGATAAGGAGAGAATCTTAAAAGCAACAAGAGAAGAGGAGACAGTTACTTACCAAGGAGTTCCCGTAAGGCTATCAGCTGATTTCTCAGAAGAAACCTTACAGGCAAGAAGGGGCTGGAGAGAAGTATTCAAAGTCATGAAAAGCAAATGCCCTATATCCAAGATTACTCTATCCAGCAAAGTTATCATTTAGACTGCAAGGGCAGATAAAGTGCTTCCCAGATAAGGTCAAGTTAAAGGAGTTCATCATCACCAAGCCCTTATCATATGAAATTTTAAAGGGACTTATCTAAGAAAAAGATCAAAAACTATGAACAATAATGCAAAGGGGAGGGGGAAGGATGGGGGGAAATGTACAGGGAATAAGCAGCATAATCTCTCTCTCCCCCCAACCCCTGCCACGGCTAGCACACCCTCTCTCCCTTCCTCTCTAAGCATATCCTCAGGTGAGGATTTACAAAAAATTAGTGAGTGTTTCACCAAGTCTTCCCCCACTTGTCCATGAATGGATGGTGACCATAGAGGCTCATACCGAGCTTCTTCCTGTGACTAGAATGAGAAGATCTCCTTCACTGACTAACACTAGACATGCAATATAAACAAAAAGCACACCTTTGTTGTTATAAGTCACCAAAAATGTAGATGTTGTTACTGCATGAAAACCTAGTCAACCTGGGCTGATATAGAAACTATGAACTTCCACAGAGATCCAGAAAAGATGAAATAGGAAAAGCCGACACTAATAAAAAGGAACCACAAGATAAATGGGCTACTCCAGCTCCTGAATTCAACGTGCTCATTCCAAGGTTGTAGATAGGTCTGAGAGCAGGCAGGTGCCCTCCATTTCTTTCAGCAGCTCACCAGAGCCTGAATGGTCCAAACTATTTCTGAAACTGATCTGCAGCCCCACATCCCAAGTGCTCACATAGGAAATGACTACTACCCAGTGATCTTAAGTCATCCTTAAAAGGTTCTTAAACAAAATGCATAAATAAGGTTGACAGAAAAAAAAAACAATTTTTGTACCAAAAATAGGGTGCTCATGGGTGCTGTATTTCCTGAAGTCTCTTATGTCTGAGAAGGTCTATTGTCTTTTTTTAAAGATTTTATTTATTTTTTGAGAGAGAAGGGAGGGAGAAAGAGAGAGAGACCTAAAAGTATGAGAGAAACAATGATCTGTTACCTCTCACACACCCACAAGTGGGGATCTGGCCCACAACCCAGGGATGTGCTCTTACTGGGAATCAAACCAGTGACCACTTGGTTCGCAATTCAGTGCTCAATCCACTGAGCCACACCAACCAGGGCTATTACCTTTTATTCTTTAATCATTTTTTAATTTTTCAATTACAGTTGATATAGTATATTAGTTTCAGGTATACACTCCAGTGACTAGACATTACAGGATGGCTGCAAATGCTGGTCCAACAAAAAAATCATAGATTTACTTAAAACATTATTATTATTATTATTATTTTTTGCGATTATGTGTCACAATATATTTAATGTGTGGCCCAAGACAACTCTTCTTCCATTATGGCCAAGGGACGCCAAAGTTTGGACATCCCTGGCCTACCACTTTAGGTTGAAGTAGGAACTCAGTCAAGTGGAGAAGGGCGCCCCCTGGTAGCAGTGCTCAGTAGTGGACCCTGGAGGACCAAGCTGAGGAGGTAGGAGTAAGGGGAGGAGAGCGGGGCTCAAATGGGCATAGCCTGCCCATCAGTTTTCTTCTCACACGAAGTAACTTCTTCCAGCAGGATGGATTCCTGGGATCCCAGAACAAATGGGCTATTAGGGACCTCCAAAAAGGACTACCAATACATGCCCTGGGTCGGGCCCTAAGCTGGGCATTTTCGCGACCATTGTCTTAACACACCTAACTCTGCTTCAAGGTAGTACCAGTATCCCTATTTTTCCGATGTGAAAACCGACGTTTGGTGACTTCCCAAGAAGCGGCGGGGATTTTGCATGATTTCAGAGCCGTTTCCCTGGAGCTCTCAAGACCTGAAAGACTGTGATTCCCTGAGGTCTCGGGGAACAAGCCACGGGTGTGAGGTGCACAAGCTTTCCAAGGACAACAGTGTGACGGTGCTTTCGGCCAAAACCACGCCTCTCATGTCACAACAATACTGATTACTGTTGCTTTCCTTTAGGAGCTTCCCCTGAAACATGAAGTCCTCGCCACACGGGGAGGCGGACATTATATATCCCTGGATCGCCCAGACTTCTTTCTCTTTCGCCTGCCCTGAACCCCACTAGTGACACAAATTCTCCCCCTACACTAGCCAGTGGAGGCGTGGGACTACATTTCCCGGCAGGTCATTGAGAAAGGCGTATCAGGGAGAGGACTGTAGGTTTCCGTATGTCCGTAGTTTCCGCCTCGTCCGCCGTAATACACATTTCTACAGCCCACGTCCTTTCTCTATGGAAGCTAGAAGAACTACGTCCCCCAGCAAGAGTAGCCGCAAAGAGAGGTGGGCCGCCATCTTTACTGTAGTCCTTTCCCCCGTTTGCACAGGGAGTAGCCTCAGGCCATGGACTACAAATCCCAGACCGTCGCCCATCCTTCCTTTGGCCGCCATCTTTGCCGGTAGTCCCCGCCCCTTTTTATTTCCATTGTCTCTACTGAAGATAATAGAGAGGGGACTGGAAGACTGCAACTCCCATCAGGCTCTGCGTCACCGGGAGGGGTATTTCGATATTAACAGGCGAGTGAGGTGCCCAAGGTGGTAGAATGAGGCGACCGGGAGAGGCTCGGTAGCCTGCCATCTTTACGGTAGTCTCCTTAACCTCCCGGGTTCGTCATTCTTAAGGAACACTAGCAAGCTAAAAAAACTACTATTCCCATCGCACCTCATAAGATCGACTACTAGTCAGGTTGTACGCCCCTCTTCAGCCATCTTGTTTGTAGTCCTCGTTCTTTTTCACCTTTCCATTGTTCCTGACGAGTAGAAATGGCAGCGGGAAGGCAGCAGATGAACTGCGACTCCCGTCAGGTACCACACACGCGGAGGGTTGTGGACAGAAGGGCGTGCGAGTGCCTGGGAAGGAGGTCGGGTCCGGGGGGAAGGCCATCTTGTTTGTAGTCACCGTTCCCGCTCCGTCCGTATGCTCTGCAACGGGGAGCCTCGGGACAACCGGACTATAACTCCCGGCATCCTCGGCTCCCTGCTTGGCACGCCCTTCGCCATCTTCTTTGTAGTATCCGCTAACCCCAGCGCCCCATTGTTCCCACGGTAGCAGCTGTGGCCGCAGGACTACGACTTCCGTCGTTCCCTGCGCGTGTTCATCCTGGCAAGTGGAGTGGTGGGGCAAGGAGGAGGCAGGGGGCGGGGTTCCTTTGGGAGAAGGAGGGAGTAAAGAGGTGGAGGAGGAGGGAAGGAGGAGGGACAGGAGGGGGAAGAGAGGAGGAAGGAGGAAGGAGCTTAGGAGGGATGAGAGAGGCGGCCAGGGCCCCGGGCCGAAGCAGCATCGGGCCGGGGGACCAGTGGGGCTGAGGCACCCCGATTGTTACCTCCCCTTTTCCCTACCTCTTTCCATCCTTTCCTTCCATCCTTCTGCTTGAAGAAGGGGATTTATTCAAATTTTATTTAAATCCCTATCTCTGGAGGGTCGCGCGCTGGGGGGAGGGGGAGAGGGCAGGGGCGTACGCAGGCTGGGGGGGCGGGGCCGGAGCAGCTTCCTTCACCCCTCTCGGTTCGCGAGATAGTGGTAGGGCAAGGGGCCGCAGTCCAGGGGCGGGCCCAGGGGAGGGGGGCAGGTTACAGGGACCCCCCCCTCCCCGGGAACCGGCGGTGGGCGGGGCTTGAACCCCGGAAACGGTGGGGGGCCCAGGCCTGGTCCTGGACCCCTGGGCAGTGGGGGCTGGGAAGGGGCCAGTTAAAGGGTCGGGGGCGCTGGGGAGAGGTGGGGCGGAGTGGGGGAGGGGAGCTGGGACTCGGACCCCGGACTGAGTGGGGCCCGGGTAGAAGCTGAGCACCCTGCGTCCGAGGAGCCCCCGTTGGCCTGGGGGGGCTGAGGGACTGAGCCCCCCAGAGCAGGACCTCCCCCTGGAAGGGCCGCGCCGCAGCCCGTGGGAGGGCCTCGCCCCCGGCGCCCCCCATCTCCACTCGCCGCCGTCCCGGCCTCCGCCGGAGGGAGGGGCCGAGCGCCCTCGGGGGGCCGTGGACCCCGGCGTTCTGAGCGTTCCGCGCCCCGCGCCGCCCGGCCCCCCCGCCGCCGATGGCCGCCGACCCGCCGGGAGCTGCCGAGAAGGGAGAGATGGCTCCCGGGACACGTGTGAGGTGGGTTCATGCGGCTCCTCCTCACCCCCAGACCTAGGCAGCTCCCACTCCCATTCATCCTCAGCCCGGCCTCTCTACCTTCCCAGCCCCCAGCCTCACCCTTTCTCTTCTCCAAACTCCTCATCTCCAGTCCTTCATCCTGTTACCTCTCTCCCCGGGGGAACTGGCCTTCCTAGACCCTGCTTCCCCTTGCAGACCCCTGGCCCCTCCTGCAGTGGCCTCCCTCCAGACCCCTCCCCTGGAGCCCTGGAGGGCCCCTTTCTCACCCCCATATGGGTCCGGAAGCCCCTCAAAAGGGGGCAATTGGGGTAAGACTCGGGCCATGAAGAGAGAGACCCTCCAGGCCTGCTGGGATCCTGGAGGCTTTGGTTTCCATGGGAAGGGGACCCCAAGGGATTCTAGACAATTAGGGATGGAAAGCAGACTGGGAAGCTGGGGATGAGGGACACATGACCAGCCCATCTTGAGTTGTGTGAAAATGTCAGGCTGGGTTCTAGAATCCCAGGGAATCTGGGAGGTTGCCCAAGTTTATCTGAGAGATAGAAAAGGAGGGTGTCTTAGAGCAGAGGAAGCTCTTTGGGGAGCAGAGGAATTGAGATCTGTGGTGGAGGAGGGACTCTGAAGCAGCATTTCAGGGGTTGTCTCAGAACCCTGGAAGTTGGGCAGAGAGTGAATTTTTAAGGATGGGGGCGGGGTGGGGCAGGGATCCCATTGGATCTGGTGATGATATCTAGGTTTTGGGGGGAAGAGAAATTGTGTCAGAGAGAGAGAGAAAGGAGGGAGAAAGGTCTGAAGCTTCCACATAAGAATCTGTGGTTGTCTTGGAGGTAAATCTGGGGAATTTTAGTTTGGGGAGAGGTATGGGTGGGGTGTAGTACATTTGGATAACAGGGGAAGAGTTGGGACTTGCTAACATAGCTCTACAGACAAGGAGCCCCTGCTTTCCAAGGAACTTTGATGTGGGGATGTCAGTGGAGAGGCCCATGCCCCTTCGTCTTTCATGGTTAGTCAGGGGGGCGCTTGAGGAAGTGTTAGAGAGGAGGAGTGAGGTCAGGAAGTCAGTTCTTGGACTCCCAGGGGAGCCAGGTGAGCTGCCTGGGAGAAATGGGACTTGAGGGAGTGGTTCCCCTCACCCCCGGTAGGAGGAGTGACCTCCATGTTACTTATCTCGCTGGGTAGGAGGACGACTTCTGGCTGCCTAGAAGTGGAGGGAGCTGTTATGAGTTACACTGGTCGGGTCGCAGTAGGCCCAGCTGACCCTGTTCCCATTCACCCACAGCCCTCGGCGTTGCTGACGCCCCCAATGTCGTCGAGCAGCCGGGGGCCGGGGGCCGGAGCGCGCCGACGCCGAACCCGCTGCCGCCGCTGCCGGGCCTGTGTGCGAACTGAGTGCGGGGACTGCCACTTCTGCCGAGACATGAAGAAGTTCGGGGGGCCTGGGCGCATGAAGCAGTCGTGCCTGCTCCGGCAGTGCACTGCCGTGAGTTCTGCCCTGGCTTTGGGACTCTGGGTACCCTTCCTCGTCTGGCCTAAGTGCTTTTACGGGGTGGCTGGTGGTTGCTTCCTAGGGTAGAGTTGCTGTTTGCTCACTCATTCATTCACTGCTTTGTTCAAATGTCCATCAGGCCCATTATTTTCCCCTCAGCTCCCAGTTGAGGGCAGTGTTAGGAGACAGAAAAATCCAACCCAGTCTCTACTGTCACACTTTTCCTAACTTTTCAGAGGCACAGACCTGTAGAAAACCTGGCCCTTCTCATCCCACTCGCTAGAGGTATGCTGCACAGGGGCCCACCTCCAGAGCTAGGGCCTGTGAACAGGTCTTAGTCTTCTTTGGCCTCTTCCTCACTTGCCGGAGAGGTCTTGGATTTGAGGCCAAGCTTACCCTTTGTGTGACCTTGAGCAAATCACTTGGAATCTCAAGGTACCAGTTTGTGCAAAATGTTTCTTTTGCTGAGTTGTAACAGTAGCACAGATATGAAAGTACATACTACAAGGCCAAGCACACAGTAGATATCTAAGGAATATAGGTTTCTTAGCAGTCTTCATCCCTTGAGCTTCCCAGAGCTCCAAAGAGCGGCCCTTCCCTAGCAGCCGTGGGCAGCCAGCAGTATCCTGCGTCCCTCTCCCCACACCACCACCTCCTTTTTTCCCTCTAGCCACTCTTCACTGCTTGGCCTCTTCACCTCGTGGCCTCTTGATTCTCTGTCCCCCAGCTCTAGCCTACTTTCCTGTTCCTTCTTCTCCCTACCTGCTTCTTCCTTGAGTCTGTCTCACAACCTTCAGTATCCCTAATATGACTCAGTATTACCACTGTCCTCCTCAAAATCACATCTGAAGGCTGCTCCCTTTTCCCTAGGATCAACCTTTAGTGTTCCCAGGGGTCTCGCCCAAACCAGGTTTATTGTGAGGTCCAGAGCAACCCTAGGCTGCCCATTGAGCAAACTCAGAATCATCCCAGGCTGCTCTTGTGCCTCCTCCAGCCCTCCCTGAGTATTATTGTCATATTTGCCTATGGTCTGTCTTCCTCCCAAAACAAACTACATTTCCAGGGTCACACAGGCCCTGGATCCAGCCAAACATTTACAACAATGAGAACAAACTATGTATACAATGCCCCTCTTGCATTATCTCATTCTTAAAACAGCCCTGCACAGGAAAGTTCCTAGCCCCATTTTACAAATGGAGAAACAGAAATAAGGAGGTTAAATGAGTTGCTCAAGGTCATACTGCCAAAAAAGAAGAAATAAGAAATTCAAGCCCTGGCTGATGTGGCTCATTTGGTTGAAGCATCGTCCCGTAACTAAAAGGTTTCAGGTTCAGTTCCCAGTCAGGGCACATGCCTAGGTTATGGGTTCACCCTGGTCCAGGCGTGTATGGGAAGGCAACCAATCAATGCATCTCTCTTGCATCGATGTTTCTCTGTCCTTTCCTCTCTAGAAAAAACAATGGAAAAATGTCCAGGTGAGGATTAAAAAAAATTCAAGATTTGACCCAGCTTGGCCCATAGGTTCTGAACCTCATCCAACAGCTGGCCAAGGTTCCAAAAAAGAAGGGTCTTTCTCTTGTTGCTTGCCTTTGGGGTTTCTCATGCCCCTTCTCCCCCAACAGCCCGTGCTCCCACACACAGCTGTGTGCCTCTTGTGTGGGGAGGCTGGGAAGGAGGACACAGTGGAGGGAGAGGAAGAGAAATTTGGTTTGAGCCTCATGGAGTGTACAATCTGCAATGAGATCGTCCACCCTGGCTGCCTGAAGGTGATGGCCCTGGGGAACCTGGAGTCTGGGATGGGGCAGGTTGTCAGGGAGCAAGGAAGTGGGAAACACTGCCTCTGGGTTTACTGATACTCTGTATCTGCCTCCCTGCCCTCTGCCCACAGATGGGGAAGGCTGAGGGTGTCATCAATGCAGAAATTCCGAACTGCTGGGAGTGCCCTCGCTGTACCCAGGAAGGCCGGACTAGCAAGGTAGGGGCAGGGACTGGGCTGGGTGCTGTCCTCTTGGTAGGCAGTGGGTTGGAGAGCTGTGCAGAATCTCACCCCCAGCATCCATCTCCTCAGGATTCAGGTGAGGGACCAGGCCGCCGCAGGGCTGACAACGGCGAGGAGGGTGCCAGCCTGGGGAGTGGATGGAAGCTGACGGAGGAGCCTCCACTTCCACCACCCCCGCCCAGGCGCAAGGGCCCCCTGCCTGCTGGGCACCCCCCAGAGGATGTGCCTGGGCCCCCTAAAAGAAAGGAGAGGGAGGCAGGGAATGAGCCCCCCACCCCAAGGAAAAAGGTGAGCCAGGGAGCATGCTCAGTAGGTTCAGCCCAAGGGAATCTGGGAGCGGCAGTCCTGTTCTTTTCTGGGGAGGGTGGGCCTGGGAGGCAGTGCTCCACGGGTTCCCTCAGGGGTTGTTGGGAGTTGTAGTTCAAGAAGTGTTGGGAGGATGGGGCATGCTCAGTGTGGAGGAAAGGTACAGGAGAGGGGCAGCTGGCTTTGGGCAGGGAAGCTTTGGGAGCCCTGAGTACTTTAAGGATTAGGGAAAGAGCTACTCAAAGAGGTTACAAAGGAAGAAGAGGAGGAGCTGGAAAGGGCTGGAGGGAGTAAAAGGGAAGATGAGAGCATGCTTACTGAGCCAAGACACTGGTTGAAAGGTGAGCATGCTCAAAGTTCTCCTTGAGGTGTGGGCTTCTGGGAATTGTAGTCCCAAGAGGAGGGTATGGATCTTAGTTTTGTGGACAATGAGGGGCTAATGGATCTCTCCCTTTCCCCATGTCTCCCTCTTTCCCTGGTAGGTGAAAGGAGGCCGTGAGAGGCACCTGAAGAAGGTGGGTGGAGACGCCTGTCTCCTCCGAGGATTGGACCCAGGCGGCCCAGGCCTTCTGCCCCCCAGGGTTCTGAATCCAAGCCAGGCTTTCTCCTCCTGCCACCCTGGGCTCCCTCCCGAGAATTGGGAGGTGTGCCGGGGATCTTCTCCCTCCCTCTCCCACCTTTCCTTGCCCTACCATCCATCTTGGAGACCAAGATCTGTCCCTTCCTGCTCACCGTCTCCTGCCCCTGCCCCTCTTGGCCATGATAAGCATCTGGACCCCTGGGAAAAGTAGAGGGAGAGAGAGAAGGAGAGAGTTGGGGCCAGGCCATAAGAGCCCCTGACTTTCCAAGAACATTTGGGGTATTATCTGACCCTTTTATATCATCTTCCCAAACCTTAAAGGGGAAAGAACTGAGTCCAAATCCCTGCCTACTGATTCCCTGTGAGGTCTTGGCAACTTGTCAGGTGCTCTGAGCCTCAGTTTTCTTATCTGGGAAATGAAGATGATATACTAGCTTCCTTATCCACCTATCTCACAGAGCTGTTTAAATCGACTGAAAGTAATGGATAAGCTTTGTAAATTTTAAAACTTACCTAGATTCAAGGAAAATGCCCAGAGTGGTTAAAAGACTTGCCTAATATCACACAGCAAAGCTAGAAATCAGATGTCACTTTGCATGGACATACTGAATGCAGGGGTCTGCCTGGTTGCACTCAAATCCAGCCTCTGTGGGTGCTTAATCTCTCTGAGCCTATTTTCCTCAGAGTAACCCAAGTTCCCACTCCATTCAAGCACTGTGAGGATGTGATGAGTCAGCAAGTATGAGATTCCCTTCTTGGGACCAGGTGATCTTTGTTATTCTCATATTGTTGACTAGACACTTGGAGTTGTCTAGTCAAACATCCCATGTTGTAGATGATGAGGCAGGGGCTTCCCAAGGTCACAAAGAGAGTTAAGAGCCAGGCCAGTACTTACATCTGGATCTCTGTTTTCGGTAGCATACTACTTGTGGAAATTCATGAGCTGTTGGAACCCATAGGGCTTTCAGTTCTTTGAATTAGTGGCTTCCTGTGGCAGATAAGGAAAGCAAAGTTCAGAGGGGCATGGTTTGGCTGATCTCTTACACTGTTCAGAACCAGTGCTGGAATTCAGGACTGTACCTTGGGCTGTTCATCCCCTGGTGACTCCTCACAGGCAGGGGTGGGAAATTGTGTGTCAGATCCTAGAACAGTCATCTTCTATCTCCCTGCAGAAACCAAAACCACCTTTGGCCTCTGCTGAGGGCCCAGCAGTGCCATCCCCATCACCACAGAGGGAGAAGCTAGAGCGTTTCAAGCGGATGTGCCAGCTGCTAGAGCGGGTGCCTGACACCTCCTCATCCTCCTCGGACTCAGACTCAGACTCCGACTCATCAGGCACATCGCTGAGTGAGGATGAGGCCCCTGGTGAGGCCCGGAATGGGCGACGGCCAGCCCGGGGCAGCTCAGGCGAGAAGGAGAACCGTGGGGGACGGCGGGCTGTACGCCCTGGCAGTGGGGGTCCCCTCCTCAGTTGGCCCTTAGGCCCTGCCCCGCCGCCTCGGCCCCCACAGCTGGAACGGCATGTGGTACGGCCTCCACCTCGAAGTCCTGAGCCTGACACACTGCCTTTGGCTGCTGGATCCGACCACCCTCTGCCTCGAGCCGCCTGGCTTCGTGTCTTCCAGCACCTCGGGCCCCGAGAGCTGTGCATTTGCATGCGAGTCTGCCGGACTTGGAGCCGCTGGTGAGTGGCCTGCATAGGCCTAGGTTCTGTTGCTGACACCCTTCTCACTTTCGGTGTGATGTGCAACTGGTTCCTGATCATTCCTCCCTGGTTACTGTTCTTGTGTTGATAATACTTCTGTAGTATGCTCATGCTATAGCATGATACTTCTGTGTATTCTGTGCCCAGGCTGCTTTCCATTTTTCAGGTCATTTAACCTTCATAACAACTTTGTGAGGTGGGTACTATTATTCCATTTTACAGATGAAGTTGAGGTGTCAAAGTCATGTAGAGAGGAAGCAGTAGAACCAGGAATTTGAACCCAGGCCCTCTTGCTCCTCATTCTTTCCTCTTAACAGTATCATTTATGAGTGTTTACTATGTGCCAAACACAGTACTGAGTGCTATACATGCATCATCTCATTTCCTTTTCACATTTCCTCTCCTGTGGACAATCCACATGTTCCATTTACATATAAGAAACTCTTTGCTGAGGTCACCCCTGCCCTCGGTCATACTTGGGCCTCCTGACCCCAAGTGACTTCTTCATGTCCCAGAGCCACCACCAATTTTGCTGTCTTCAGCAGCACATCTAAAACCAGAGCCACCACCAACTCCCTCTGCCTATCCTCCCCCATCTCTCCACTGCTTCCTGAACCTTGTTTATTCAGAAATCTCCTTCATCCTCCCAAACCCTTGGTGTTCCTTCCCCCAATCAGACTCTCATGGCACTCTGTTCCTCTCACAGCCCTATAGATGACCTTTTGCATGTTGATGAGCCTTCGTTCATTTACTCATTTCCATGTTCCAATCAGTTTCTAGGATGCTGCAGTTACTGTGTCTGTTTTATCTCCATGTTCCCAGCACAGGACCAGGGGCAGTGTAAATGCTCAAGAAATATTGTATTAAATTAATAAACTCAGGCTTTTTCTCAGTCACTTACTGTGGAGAAGGCATTCTATTAGCCACTTTATAAACGTAGCTAGTATGTTCTTCATAATAGCAGCCCTGTGAGGGAATGAGGGAATGAGGGACATCGGAAGTCACAGCGCAAGTTAGCGGCTGAACTCAAATTCCATTCCTTCTCCTTTGGATTCTGGATGCTAGTTTCGTGCCTGCTGGTCTCTGTGGAGGCTTAGAGCTAGGAGGATAGGAGTGCAGGCTCTGGAGGTAAATGCCTGTGGTTCAGTTTTACTACTCTTCTTTTCACGAGCTGTATGCTGTTGGGCTAGTTTCTTAACTTCTCTGTGCCTCATTTTCTTCATCTGTTAAACCAGAAGAACCAAAGCATTTACTTCATAGAGGGTTTTTTCTTTATTGAATTTATTGGGGTGACAGTTAATAAAATTATATAGGTTTTAGGAGTGCAGTTTTATAATATAGCATTTATATATGTTTTAGTGTTTTTGTAAGCTAATATAACTAAAGAACTGAGGACAGTACCTGGGAAATAGAAACTGCTCAGTGCTTTAACTGTAGTCATTGTTATTCACTCAGTTATAATTAAGTACTGAAAGCACAGACTTACATCCTCAAGGTACAGATTTATGTCCTAGAAGAGCTCCCGGTCAACCTGCAACATAGAAGCAAATAGTTACAGCAGTTGCTAGGGATTACCATCTCTGCCTCATGTAGTAGTTGATGAAATGTTTGCTGAGGCCTCTTCATCATGGCCAGCCCTGTGCTTGGTACATGGGATCCAGAAGTGAAGAGGACTTGATTTCTGCCTCACGGAGAGACTTGTAACCAGAAGTAGAGAGTCTGGACTCCACAGTGGTTTCTAGCTTGGGCCCTGGAGTCTGGTCCTCATAAGTTTCATAAACTCTGACTCTGGCACTTCCTGGATGTGTGGCCATGGTTGGACAGCTATACCTATCAAGGCTTCAGTTTTCTCATCTATTATTTAAGGTTCATATTAATACCTTGTAGGGATTATATGAGGTGGTTCTTGCAAAGTACTTAGCATAGTTCCTGAAGGGTACTACACACTCAATGAAATGGTGGCTTTCGATAAGAAGAATGAGGGTAGGGCAGAATAGGGATCTTTGGGGTGGGGCACAGTAGAAACAGTCAGGAGGCTCTGTCAGGACTGGGGGCAGAAGTAAGGGCTGTTGGGATGGAGAGGAAAGACTCAGGTTGAGAAAGTTTTAAAAAGCAGAATAGCTTGGATTTGGTGACTTAAGTGGCTGTTGGACAACAAGTGACTGTTAACTGAGTTTCTGTTCCACAAGCCTGGGTGGGCAACAGTGCCATTCCTCACTAAGGGAAGAGAAGCAAGTTGTAGGGGGAAATGAAGTGCATAGATTTAACATGTTTGGTCTGAAAGGTTTGTGGGCCAGTCGGGAACTAGTAGGAAAAGAGCTGGATGTTCAAGTCTGAGGCTCAAGAGAAAGATCTGAGTTTAGAAACTTGGGACACAGCAGTGAATAAATAGGTGGGAGAGCAGGCAGGTGCAGGTCTTCTGTCTGGTGGCTTCTGTTTTCTTGGAACTAGAAGGTGAAGTCATCTACCAAGAGAAAGAACCAAGTTCGGGAGTTTTTAACCTATAGGTATCAGCTTCAATGAAGAGGGCGGAAGACAGAATGTCAGTGTTTGTGAGTTAGAGAAAGAGCAGCCAGAGAGTTAGAGGAGATCAAGGGTGGGAGTGTATTCTCAGGGAGAGAGTTTGAGGAAGGAGCGGATGATGAATGTTGGCAAAAGGTCGTGGGAGATCCAAGGACCAGAGGAGCGGTTAGATTTTGTTACAAGGAGGCCTCAGTATCCTTGGCTGTTCAACATAAGGGTTGGAGGGACCAGAGCCAGGTCACATGGGGTCAAGGATATCAGCTTCAAGGCAGGGACCTTGTTTGCTGTTATACCCTGGTTTCTAAGATGGCCCCCTACATACAGTAGGGACAAAAAAAAAAAACTTGTTGAATGAATGACAGTGAGGAAATCAAGATAAGAGTGTAAAGAGGTAGTGAGGGTGAAACTGGAGAGAAATTTGCAGGTAGGAGAGCAGGAAGTTGCAGGCTTTCCTCTCTTGTGGTTTCTATCTTCTCTTGGAACTGGGAGACGAAGTGATCTATCAAGAGTGGGAGGAGAGAAGGCAGGCAGAGGAAGTATGGAGGAGTTGTTGAGTTGCAGGGAAGAGGGTTGGGACTTTGGAGGACATGGGCAGAGAAGGGTGGCAAGGAAGGGACTGAATACAGGGTCAAGGCCAGTTGGGATTGTGAGTAAAGACTTAGAGATAGACAGATTGGAGGACATCGGTGCCATCTGGGATCCCAGAGAGCTAAAAAAACTGGCTTTGGCTGAAGCCCAGGAGGCTCTTGAGCTCCTTACAGGTAGCAGTTTTGGGCTGCTCTGCCTCTGTCTCCAGAGGGCCTCTGCAGGGGTGGGGAAGAGCTATTTGGAGGACTAGAATTTAGGATTTTGGTGGCCTTGGGCTTAGTGGGGGGTGTGACTTACTTGGAGAACTTGAACATCAAGCCTGACCCCCCTCCTGAATGATGGCATGCCTTGGTCTCTTAAGAGTTCTTCCTGCTTTTTGCCTTAGTGATGTTCCCCAGCTTAGAAAGAATCCATCCATGGCTCCCTGTTGCCCTTACAACACACTCCCACAATCCTTTTGGGCCTTTGGACATGAACAGCGCCCCAGTGACTGCACTAAATACTTTCCCTATACTATCTCCCTTCATCTTTGCAGCAAACCTTTGAAGTAAGTGCTGCATTTACTCCCTTTTATGGTTTGGAGAATGGCCCAGAGAGGACAAGTGACTTGCCTAAAGTCATTCAAAGTACAGAAGTGGCAGAGCTGGGATTTAGATACTCATAAGGCTTACCCCCTTCACCTCTGGGCTCTGTGGCCATGACAATCCAGCCTGGCATTCCAGCCCTTCTTGACATGGCACCCCTACCCTAGGCCTCCTCTGCAGCCTCACCTCTGCCTCTTCCCCACTTAACAGAGTTCAGGCTCTCAATCCAGACCAGCTTGGTTTGAGCCCTGGCTCTGCTGTCGTTTTAGTAGCTGTGGTACCTTGAACGTGTTTCTTAACCTCACTGAGCCTCATTTTCCTTTACTTTAAAAAGGAGATGATAACAGTATTTACCTCCCAGGGCTGTTATTAAAGACGACGAATTGCCCTTTGTTCCTGCTGCCTGAGGTTCTCAGAGCCCTCTGTTTTTGTGTCCTGGACCTGGATACTGATTCTTCTTCATCTGAAATGTACATCCTTTTTCTCCTCTCCCCTCACTGGAATAATGACCACTGTCTTAAAGTTTCGTCATGTATTGTCTCCCTGGGGGGGCTCCCCTGTCCCGGTCCTCTCATCGACTCTTACCATGTCCTTTGTTGCTTCAGTTTCTGTGGAATTACTGTCTCCCCCCGTTTTCTGACTGCTTCGTGCCCAGTGGTATCAGTAAGGCCCTCAGTGACTGTTGGTTGCCACTCTGAGGTTTAAACCCAATGTCCTGGTCATACAAGGGTAAAGGGACTGATGGGCTCCAGCCAGGAAGAGTCAGGGGAAACTTCCTGGAAGCAGAGGCACTGGAGCTAAGAGTTGAAGGATCTGGGTTGGTTGGCATTTCCAGCACAACATGGGCCAAAATGTGTTGGCACCATACAGCCTTGTGTGTCGATAGGCAGGCAGGCAGTTTGGCCTGGCTCTTGTGGAATGCGATGAAGAAACAATTGGAAGCCTATGTGTGCCTCGAGAGACAGGTTCCCTTCTAGCCATGGAAGATCCAGGGGGAGCTTCAAGGTGGTGGTCACAGCTGAGCTGGGACTCAAGATTGGGTCAAAGTGGGCAGAGAGGTTTTGGGTAGAGCGGGCTTTTACTAAGTTGAGAGAGGAAAAGGGGCAGGACCTAGGGACAGAGGCTGGGTTGTGGGTGGGGTTTTTGTTTTGTGTTTTTCCTTTTTAGAATTGGAGAGATTTGCGAGTGTTATTGGCTGAGTGGACGGAACCAGGAGAGGTAGAGGCCAGCATGCCAGAAGAGGGGGGCAATGGTAGGAGGTGATCGGTGGGGCTGAGAGGCGGGATTGTTGGGATCGAAGCCTTAATGTCTGTGCCTCCAGCATTCCCTGACCTGTCACCCAGGGCCTGTGGAGTAGGCCTGGCACTTATAAGTGGTACGAAAACGTGGCTTAATTCTTTTATTAATTTTGAAAAGGAAGTCTCTTCATTGTGTGCTATTGTATCTTTAACACTCTTCTTATACTCATCTCCCTCTTTAACAAAAATATTCTCTAGGTAGTAGCCTAACACCGCAGTAGCACTCAGCTAGAATTTAATAACCCTGGTCTGTTTTTATTGTATTTATTTCTACGGTTGACACATTTATGTGAAACAATACTGGTTTTAAGTACATAGAGGGGATCAATTTAAAGATCAATTCACGTTTTGCAGATACATGGATAACAAGTGACTGGGGTTTGAGGATCACTGCTCTAGCTCAGGGCAGCCTGAAGAATTGGCGGGGGGCGGGGGGGCGGATAAATTTCCTGGGCCCTTCCCCAACCCCTGCTGCTTCTGACATAGTTCATCTAGCCCAGTGGGAAATTCCTGACATGCCTTCAAGAACTACTGCATTAAGAAGAGTTTTCAAAGGGAGTCTCAAGGAACTTTAGTGTACCACAAAGTATTAATAGGTAACCTTGGGAGAGGTAGGGAAGTGTTCCCTGGTAATAAAAGTTTGGGAAGCCCTTTCCCAGTTCACTTCATGTTGGACTAGTCAAGGCCCTCAGAAATGCTGGGATCAGAAAACCTGTTTTAACTTTGTTCAGGCTTCATTTGTCTTTGTTAGTTTCAATACCTTGGACCTGCCAGGTCTCCCATAAACATTGACTAAGTGAATAAATGAAAAGCTATAAATGAAGTATGTTGGGTAGGGGGATGCTCAATGGAAGCCTGGCGCCATTTCATTCAACCAATACCCAACAGATAACCTACTATGCACCTGGCGTAGTGCTGGGTATTTGGGGAAACCAAGGAAAAAGCCAGACCTGTCCTTATAAAGCCTACATTGTAGTTGGCAGGACACAGTAATCAAGTAAAGAGAGCAAATAGGGCTGTAAGTCAAGCCTTGGGTGCCTGGCTATCAGGATGAGACAGATGTGAATCAAGGGCAGAAATTAGTAGAGGATATGAGAAGTGCCCACAAGCCAACACCATAACTTAGCAGTCCAAGGTAGGAGTTGGGGTTGCTGGTAGATCCCATTGGTGTTACAGCAGATACAGTGTAGAGGGTGTTTTTGTGGGTGTCTTTGGCAGAATGCATTAGGAGTTGTAAGGTACGAAAACTAGAATGACCTTATTTGACCCTACAGCAGCCCTGTGGGGCAGGCTGAGTAAGGATCGTTATCTTCATTTTCTAACCTAGGCCTCTGAGGGTCAAGAAAAATGGATTTTCCAGGGTCTCGCATCCAGTTAGTGATGGGCTTGAGCCCCAAATTCAGTGCTCTTGGCTTGGGTCCTGGAGCTCTTCCCTGCCCCCCCCTCCCTGCCCCGCCCCATTCTGTATGGAGCCAGGAGAAAACTGAGTATGGTGAGGGTTGTGGGCTCCCTGAGAGCTGAGGGCTCTTGCTCTCTCTACCCCCTTGTGGCCGGCAGGTGCTATGACAAGCGTCTGTGGCCTCGAATGGATCTGAGCCGGCGAAAGTCACTCACTCCACCGATGCTTAGTGGTGTGGTTCGTCGCCAGCCCCGAGCCCTGGACCTCAGCTGGACAGGTGTCTCCAAAAAGCAGCTCATGTGGCTTTTGAACCGACTGCAAGGTATGGCATAGTGAGTGAACAGGGTGAGTTGGGGGATAGAACTGACACAGAACCCTTTTAGCACCAGCTTCCTAACTCCACCCAGGCCTGCAGGAACTGGTGCTGTCTGGCTGCTCCTGGCTCTCTGTCTCTGCCCTGGGCTCCGCCCCACTGCCGGCCCTGCGACTCCTGGACCTGCGCTGGATCGAGGATGTTAAAGACTCCCAGCTCCGGGAGCTGCTGCTGCCTCCGCCTGACACCAAACCAGGTGCAGCCTCTGTTGGCTCCTTTGTAGAATGGGTTGGGCAAGGTGAGGGTATGAGGCCCCCAGGGTCTCTTGTGACTCATGCTAGGTGTTAAAGGTTTTGAAGAAAAGATAGAACACTTGAGTTCGAATAAGAAGGCCCTGCTTAGCCATTTTTCATTTATTGACTCACCTGCTGTGTGCTGGGCCCTGTGATAGGAGTGAGGAACAGCATAGGAGTGGGGAAACATCCCTGCCCTTCAGGGAGACATAATTATGGAATGAAGCACAATATAGGACAGGAGGATGACATTGAACTCTGGGGGAAGCCAGGGCATGTGAGTGAAGTCACTGGGTGTTGTGGGCTCTGCTGGAGAGCCCCCTCCAAAGGGAGCAGTGGCAGTTGCCATGGAAGAATGCGGGTCCCATGTAGCCAGTCAGTTCTGTTTGTTATGAGGAGACAGACATAGGTATTTTTCTGTGACATATCCTGGTTATTGTCTTTTTGGTTTTGGGGGTTTTTTTGTTTTTGTTTGTTTGTTTTGGGGTTTTTTTGTTTGTTTTTTGTTTTTTGGGGTTTGTTTGTTTTTTTAGATTTTTATTTATTTATTTTTGGAGAGAGGGGAAGGGAGGGAGGAGGAGGGAGAAGAAATACGCATGTGTAGTTGCTTCTCCTGTGCCCCCCAGTGGGGGCCTGGCCCACAACCCAGGCATGTGCCCTGACTGGGGATCGAACCTTTGGTTTGCAGGCTGGCATGCAATCCATTGAACCACACCAGCCAGCGCCATAGCCTGGGTTTTAAATGATGGAAGTCAGTTCAAATTCTTTTAAAATTCATGCATGGCCCAGTAAAAATATGGCTGAGCAATGGATTTGGACCCTAGACTCCCTTGCCCCACAGTGAAAAGATAACAGATTTTCCTGAGGGAAAACAGCAGAAAGAGGGAGCCAATTGACTGGAAAGGTTGCGTGGAGGTGGTGGTATCATCTCGCCAGTCAGAGTAGCCACCTCTCTACCATGAGTCAGGCCCAGGTACCCTGCTGAGTAAAGTCACCTTTTATTGTTGAACACATATTCTGGGCTGGTCCTGTGTAGGACCCTGGAGACCTCAAACTGAATCAGGCCCATTCCCCACGCTGGTGTAAACCCAGTCATGCAGGAGAGAGAGAGACTCAGAAATAGTAGGTTATATGGCATGATGTGGTATGGTAAGGGCTGTAGTCAGGGAAAGGGGGAGCAATGAAAGAAGCTCTCTTTAAAGGAGCTATTTGAACTGAGTCCTGGAAGGGACAGGGTTTTTCTAGGGAGTGTGAGGCAGAATAAGTAGTTTTGTGGGGCGGGAGGCCCATATTGACTGAGGGGAATGCTGGGAGCCGAGGCTGGTCAGGTGATCAGAGGCCTGGTCACCTTGGGTGTCATTTGGACGTGTAGGGGTGTGGGCACTGAGGCCTGGGGGCTCCTTGTCTAGTCACGATGAGAGGCTCACCGTAGCATTCCTCCTTGGTCCGTATCAGTCTGTTCTCTACACCCAAGTTAGGGGAACCATCCAGGAAGACAAATGTAGCCATTTCGTTCCTATTCTATAAACTGTTTTTCATTGCTTCCCTGTGTTCTTTGGATAAAGACCAATATTTTACTATAGTTGCTAAGGCCTGGCATGGTCTGGTTCCTGCTGACCTATGTGATCCCTGCATTTTAGCCACCTCAACCTCTTTGCCAAGTTTCTTTCAGCCCCAGGGCCTTTGCCCACTCTTCTTGGCCCAGAATGCTCTATCTTCCTTCATCTAATTAACACATAATCACCCTTCAGGCTGCAGTGTAGATGCGACTTCCTCCTAGAAGCCCTTGACGATTGTCTCCCCCATTGAGATCAGAGTTCCTCTTCAGCTTTGAGAGCAGTCCCTCCCAGTAGATCAGTGTACAGTTATGAAATGATTTGATTAACATCTGTTTCCTCTCACTAGGTTCTTAAGCTCTGTGAGGGCAAGGACGTTCTGTTTGCCCCAGCACCTTGCTTTCACAGCTCTTTCAAGGCTCCCTTTTTCACACCCTCCCCTACCCCACCCCTTCACAGCAGCCTTGAAAAAGGAGTAAAGAAGTAGTTAGGATTCTTTGCATTTTCTGGAGGAGGCAACAGAGGCCCAGGGGAGTTGAGTGACTGCTGCAAGTCACACAGGCGAAGCCAAACAAGAGCTCGCCCATTGCCCACTCTACTGGACTGAGCCAGGAAGATTTAGGCACGGGTAAGGGTGGACATTGGGAAGAGTACACTCCATGAGGTGAGAAAGTGCTGGTTGGCTGGCACACAGACCCCATCTCCTTCTTCCTGAATTCAGTTTAAGCCCCTTTATCAGGAGTTTGCAGAGATGGGTCTTCTGTGTCCTTTGAGACCTATTGTGCCCGTTGGAACTCTATACCTACCTTTCTGATCTTGGTGCCATGGTTCATACAGTTTCTTAAACTTAAGATTGTACTTCTTGCTTTCGCCTCTGCTATTTTCTGCCTGGTGTACTCTTCTCTCACCTCTTCTCGGGGTCAGTCTTTGAAGACCCCACTTAAATGCTGCTACCTCAGTGAAACCCTCGCTGATGCCCCCTTTTCCCCACCCAAGCCAGAGTGCTGTCTTTCCTCTGCTTTCCTTTAATGGCTTTAGCTGTGGCCCACGGTTGAAGGCATCTGTAGATGTATTCCCTCTCCAGGCCCTTAGCTCCTCAAATGAAAAAAAGGAAGAGGTGGAATTCAGAGCTTGCAAAGTCAAGTAACCAGAGGGGGCCTGACAGGTAACAAGTGGTGGGCTTGGTGCAGGGCATTAGGAAGGAGCACCTAGGAATCCAGCTTCAGCCAGTTGTCGAGCGAAAGGGGCAGCTCAGTGATGCCAGATGTTATGATTCTCAAGGAAAAGTTTAATATCTAAATTTCTGTATAAAAATGTCCTTTTTGTTTGCTTAATCACTTAGAAAATTTTTAGCATTATGCAGACTCCATAAAACACTTGTGTATCTGGTCTAAGTTTATCTAAAGGGTAGGCTGGTGCCTGGGAGGTAAATAGTGTTGTGATAAGTTTGGACGTGGAGTCACCAGGCCTGCTGTGCTGGCTTTGTTACTTCATAGTCACGTGACCGTGGACAGATTGCATAATAATTTGAGCCTCCATTTTTTTCATCTGTAAAAGGAATGATAATCAGAGGACTTGTCTCCTGAGGCTGTGGTTCTTAAAGCATGGTTTTCAGACCAGCAGCTTCAACATCACTGGAGAACTTGCTAGAAAAATAAATTCTGAGGCCCTAACTTAAGTGTACCTAAACTCTGGGGGGAGGGCCAGCAATCCATTTTAAACAGCCTACCAGGGGACATAGTTTGAGAGCCACTAGCCTAGGAGCAGACAGCCACTTAGCCTGTGTCTGGCCCGCAGCGAATGCTCAATTAGTGACTGCTGGTGCACGATAGGTGTGCCAAACACTGTAATGCCAGGGATGTGGTAGATACAATAAAAGGGAAGCATGTGCTTATGGTGCAGAGATGAGCAGTGTAAGCTGATCTACCCCAGACACAGGAGAAGAGGAGGCCTCTGAGCTCAGACCTAAAAGCCAGGGACACTGGCAAGGCAGAGGACTGAGCACCTGTGTCCATAGGGAGAGTGTCTCAGGGCAGGGTCACCTGTGGGTGTTGGGCCAAGTATTTGGGGGTGAGGGAGAGGAGTTGAGAGCTGAGAAAGGGATAAAGCCTTATAAGAACTGGGATGTTCCACCAGGAGATTGGACTTCTTTGAGGTGCTCTCAGAGTTTTTAGCAGAGAAGTGATATTGTCCCACCTAGTGTTTGAGAATGGCTCTCTTTGGATTCCAGGAAGAAGAGAGACTAGAGTGAGTAAGGAGGCTGGGGCAGAAATTGAGGCAAGAATGGTGTGGTGAAATGGGGAAAGGAGAGAAAGGAATCCAGTCGGTGACTTTACTAAATATAGAAGCAGAGGAAAGCAGGAGAGCAGCCTGGAATGGCGGTCCTATTAGGGATGTTACTTGTTGGATGCATGACTATACATTGAGCACGTATGTCCCAATTGTTGGTATAAAGCAAGAACAAGACAGACAAAACTTTCTTGCCTTCATGGAACTGACATTCTAATGGAAAGAGAGAAGAAATATGTATGTCAGATGATGGGAAAGGGGGGAAAATAATACAAGGAAGGGATAGGACTTAGTAGAATATTATAGTTTCAGATGGAGTAATCATGGCAGGCCTCATTGAGGAGGTAGTGTAAGCAGTGAACAGATGAGATGGGGTCAGGTGTATGAGTGTTTGGGAGAAGAACAAGCCATGCAGAAAGTGCCAGTGAGGCTCACATGCAGTGAGAGCAGGCCTAGGGGGTGGTGAGGAATATGAGTATGGAAACATAGCTGGTCTGGATGCCTGGTTGGAGGTATGGAAGCAGAGGGAAGTTCTGACCTCTTATCTGCCTACCCAAGGGCAAACGGAGAGCCGTGGGCGGCTGCAGGGTGTAGCAGAGCTCCGCTTGGCAGGCCTGGAGCTGACAGATGCCTCCCTGCGGCTCCTGCTGCGCCATGCACCCCAGCTGAGTGCCCTGGACTTGAGCCACTGCGCCCACGTTGGGGACCCCAGCGTCCATCTCCTCACAGCGCCCACCTCCCCACTCCGAGAGACCCTGGTACACCTCAATCTCGCTGGTAAGCATGGTCCTATCTGTCCATCCTGCTAGCCTGTTGGTCCCCATGACCAGTGCCTACCCCTACTCACTTTCCTGGTGTTGGCTACCATTGCCCCATTCCCAGGTTGCCACCGCCTCACTGACCATTGCCTTCCGCTGTTCCGCCGCTGCCCTCGCCTACGCCGTCTAGACCTGCGCTCCTGCCGCCAGCTCTCACCAGAAGCTTGTGCCCGGCTGGCAGCTGCTGGGCCCCCTGGCCCCTTCCGCTGCCCAGAGGAAAAGCTGCTTCTCAAGGACAGCTAGTTGGGTGCCCCCACCCTCCCCCAGGACTCATCTGGAGCCTGGACCTCGGGCCTTCATTTCACTCCTGCCAGGAGGCCAGGTTCCCCACCTCATGACTTGGGATTCCTGAGTTTTCTGACTTGGGATTCCTGCCCAGGGACTTGAGCCAGCCTCCCCACTCTTTACCCCCTGCACTGAAATTTCTGGGGGTCTCTCCTTCCCATCTCCTCCCCTTTCCACCTGCTTCATTGTCCATCCCCTGGGGGGAGTGGGTCAGGGGTTCTGGGGGTTGCTGAGCCAAAGGGATGGTGGGAGGGGGGTAAGGTGCAAGTTTGAGGGAGGGAGAATGGGGGAAATGGATCTGCACACAGAATACTGGGAGCCAAGGGCTGGGGAGGTGGAGGATGGGCTGGGGTGGGGGGGCGCAGAAAGCAGACCACCAAGGGTGCAGGGAACAGACCAGATACTTGGAGTTGGGGGCGGGGGGCAAAAAGGGAAACCAGAGGAGCAATTAATTGGGAGTCCAGGTGTTGGGGGTTGGGGGGGGACTCGGGCAACCAGGGAAAGCTAGGGCAAAGAGAGGAGTCGAGGGGTCAGGGGCAGGAGCAGGTGTGAGGGTAGTAAGTACCCCCTCAGGGGGTCACTCTTCCCCTTACTCCCTCCCCAGTTTCAGTTCTTCCCCCAACCCTGACTCTTTGAAAGTCACTGACAATGGCAGCTATTGCAAGGAGTGGGGGCCTGCTGGCCTACCTGCTGTTCAGCGAGGCCCAGGGGAGTGGTGAGGGGTACCCCAGCCCCCTACCTGCCTTCCCACTCAATACTTGAACATTCATCTGTACTTAAGTGTTACTTGAACCTGGGGAACCTCGGACCTAGGGGAGCCGGAGTGAGGGGCTCGTGACCGCTTGGACTGAGACTGGACCGGTGGGCACCCAATTTGGACTGCGCCACCCCCAAGCTCTCTTGTTTTACTGTATTAAGCAGCTCCACCCCTCCTGACTTGAAGTGGGGTGGGGTGCCAGCCCAACGATGGGGAAGAAGGAACTCCTCCAGTTTGGCTCTTCCCACTCATCGTCATGGAAGCTTGTATCCCATTTGCCCAGGGAACTGCCACTCCTGGTTACCATGGAAATAGCCAATGGACATGTCCCAAAGCCAGGGCTAAGGCTGGTAATAGCCCCTCTTGGTTGCCATGGGAACTTAGTAACACGCTCGCCCGCCCTTGCCCCTTCCTCTAGTGGTGGGGCGGGGTTAGGGGAGCCAGTGCACGCCCCTCGGCCCAGGCCTCCTGGGGAGCTGGGTTGTACCAAGTAGGGGAGGGGGGAATTTATCCACATACCTCAGGTATCAGGGAGGTGCGCGGGTGGGGGGAGGGATTGGGCAGACCAAAGGTCAACGGGAGGGGGTTGTGGGGGATCGTGAAAGGCTTGAGGTTGGGGCCGCTTGCGGGGAGGGGGGAGGAGGCAGCCCGGCGGGGGACAAGTTGGGGACCCAGCCGGGCTGGGCCCCGGGTCTGTACAATATGGTTTGCTATAAAATTCAAAATCTTCCAGCTGGGGCCACTGAGTTCATGTGTCTGTCTGCGATGTCAGGAGAGGTTGGGGAGGGTTGGAGGGAGCGTGGCTGTTAGAACGGATCTGGGAGCCTCGGACCTCCTCTGAATCCAAGAACTGAGCTTACGGGGCTCTCTGTAGTCCCTACAGACTGATGGGTTCGCCTTTTTCCCGAGTTTGCAATTTAGGGGGTTAGACGTCTGGACAGCTGGGTGTGTCCAAGTGTGTTTGGAATGGTCCAGACGCTAGTTGCTAATATGCATGACATTTTAGGTGGACTGGTGTCGCTGGGTCCCTTGAGATCTCTTGCCAGACGCCCTCGGGCTCCACCCAGTCATGTGGGCGCCCCGGCTCCGCCTCTGCCCCAGTTCCTGTTTCAGCCTCTGCTGTCCCGCTTCGGCCCCTAGGGTTTCCCGCAGACTCTGGCTCTTCCTTCTTATTCGGACTGCCTCTTCCTGGGCGCCTGCCGCCCACATCTTTGCTCACCCGCAGGGGGATGGGGCCTCCCCTTCGCCTGGGCTGGTCTTCCTTGACACCCCGAGGCTACTTGGTCCCGCCCTGACTGCCCACTCCACCTGGTGCTGCGGCCCCCCCTCCACCCCCCAGGATGAAGGGCGGCCAGGGGGACGCAGGCGAACAGGCCCCGCTGAACCCGGAGGCCGAGTGCCCCGCGGGCTCGGCCACATACCGAGAATTCGTGCACCGCGGCTACTTGGACCTCATGGGGGCCAGTGAGCACTCGCTGCGGGCGCTCAGCTGGCGCCGCCTCTACCTCAGCCGGGCCAAGCTCAAAGCCTCCAGCCGCACGTCTGCCCTGCTCTCGGGCTTCGCCATGGTGAGGGGAGGGTGGGGGCGCACAGGTTGGGGGGAAGGTACGGGGTGGTGGGCAAAGTAAACCCAAGGGAGGCAAGGCAACAGGAAAGGGAAAAGCTGGGTCTTAAAAGGTAAAAAGGGAAACAAACAAGGTCCCAAGGGACGATACAAGTCCCTTTAACGGGTGTGTCTATGTGTATATGTAAACAGACCCCCAGCATAAACTGGGCCACAGGAAGGATAAACGAGTGCTAAAAATGTCATGGGGGACACAAATGATGTTGAGGGAGTAGACAAATCACTAAGGGGAATACATATGCAAGGAGGGGGCAAAGAGGTCCAAAAGCATACTCCAGGCAGGAATGATTATTAGACAAAGGCAAATCAGATCTGGAGGGGTGGGGGACGGGATCAAAGAAAATAAACTGGATGGAGCCCTCACCCAGTTGAAGGTGGGCCCATCCGAAGCAGGGTGTCTAGCACCCAGAGGGACAAAGGGTGCCTAGTTTTTAGCCCAGGAAGTTTTGAGAAGAGAGGATGCTTCTGAGGAAGCCTGTGGGAAAAGAAGCTGATTAGGAAGCTGATAACATGATTCCTGAGCTGATAAGCTGAGGGTGTGGGAAGATATCAACTAACGGTCCCAGCAAAGTCTCATAGGAAGTGGGACTGAGGGAGGTCCTGGGGTAAGGAGTCAGCAGACACAAGTCCTGGCTTGCTTGCTTGTGGTCATCTGTGTGACCCTGGACAGGCACCCACCACTTTGCAGGTCAGTGAGAAATTGTGAGATCATGGAGGGTGCGGCCTCTGTAGCCTGCCAAGTATTTGCCCCAGGATGAGCTGATTCTTGTCATCAAACCCTAGGTCCAAGCATGTTAGAGCAAGACATGTCAAAGATGTCTCAGACTATCTGTTAATTGGACGGTCATGGAAAGTGAGGCCCAGAATGGGTCAGTGGCTCTGCCAAGAGCATTCAGCAGATGAAGAATATAGAAAAAAAAGGACTCAGAGTCTCTGGCCTGTTAGTCCAGGGTTTCCCCACCATCATGACAGGAAGAAGGGGAAAGAGTCTGGCAGGAGGGGTGGGGCGGGAATCTTTATAGGACCATGTTCCTGTTGCGAGCAAACTGAGATGGGAATAAAAGGGTCAGAGCACTAGGTGTTTCGGGTTAGCCCCTGTCTCAGTGCCACGGCCTCTGTATTTGAAATGCTTAGAGGAAAAGTATCCCTAAGGGTCATCCTAGTTCTATGATTTTTTATGTAGGAGCTCAAGATCCACAGGCCAGCCCACCCTTCCTGACTGGAATCACGTAGGGACAGGGAATTGGCTCTCCTTCAGCTATACAGACTGCAGGGGGAAGGAAGCAGTCCCATGGACTTACCTGGCAGAGGTTCCTCACCCCCGTCCACCCCGTAGTCCATTTCTGCCCTGCTGTTGGGCTTGCATGTTGCTGGGGTGACAGCTTAAGGGCCAGCATCTTCTATGCAGAGTCTGAGGCCAGACGAGTAGGTTCTTGGAGCAGGACTGGCTCCAGTTTTGCCAGGGGAGAGCAAGGCTGGGTCAGGCTATGGGAGAAACCAGGAGTAGACCTAGCCTGGACACCTGTCTGTGGAAAACACCTGCTAACACCCTTCGTGGTCCAGTTTCCCCAAAATACCCTTGCCTCTCTACCACCTCTCTCCAGACTCTGCATCTTCCTTCCCTTAGCCCCAGAGCAATCTAATGGGTCCTGCAAGAACTACTGGGGAAAGAGACAGATTGTGGAATTCAGGTGGCCTAGGTTAGAATAACATACAAATTGTATTGAACTGTCACTGTGCTTAGGGCTTTTATGCGCATCATCTATTATCCTGCAAAGTAGGTACCACTACTATGGTCATTTTACAGCTGAGAAAACTGAGGATCAGACATGTTGAGACACCTGCCCAGTGTCCCACAGCAAGTAAGTGGCAGAATTTGAACGTAAGCAGTCTAGTTCTAGAGTTCAAATTTATACCAGCCTAGGACAGAATCATCAACTCAAATGTTTGCAAAGGGAAGGAGGTAATATGGAAGCCAAGTTGGTTTTGTAGGGACTGTGGCTATAAAGAGACCCCATGAGCTGTTCAAAGGCAGCAGCCATGACTCAACTCTAACTCATAGTTGCCATGCAAGAATGTGGGCCTGGTATAACCAGATCTTCCAAATTTTCAAGAGCATCTGGGAATTGGGATATTTATAGGAAATCTCTTAAATTTTAAAAGTTGGTAACTTCATTCTTTAAGAAACACTGAGCCATGCAAAAACATATTGGCAAGCTGGCTTTGGTCATAGTATGCCAATTTGCAAACTCTGGCCTTGGAATTTAGTGTTAACTCTAATAATGACAGCAAACACTTACTGAGTACTTACTATGTGCCTTGCACTATTATTACTTGATGTCTATTATCTCATTTAATTTTCACAACAACTTTATAAGGCAGGTAGGTGCTATTATCAATCCCCATTTTCCAGGTGAGGACATTGAGGCACAGAGAGACTAAGTCACTTGCTCAAGACTATACAGCTTATAGACCTGAGAATGAACCCAGACAACTAGCTCCAGAATCTGTGCTTTTTAACCCTTATGTTATAACAAGGTAAGATTGTCAGAAACCTGTCATCCAACCATTTTGATAGCTAGGTGGGAAAACTAAGGACCAGAACAGGCAAGAGCCTTCCCTAGGCTGCCCGTTCATGTGCTCAACAAAGACAGTCTTTTTTTCTGCCAGGCAGACAGTAGGTCCTAAGGCTACATCACTGATATATGCCAACGGGCAAACACTCTGCTACTGTTCAGGAGGTTATGGGCATTCAATCCATCTCTTGTCCCCACAGGTGGCCATGGTGGAGGTACAACTGGAGAGCAACCATGAATACCCGCCAGGCCTGCTGGTGGCCTTTAGTGCCTGCACCACCGTACTAGTGGCTGTACACCTCTTTGCACTCATGGTCTCCACGTGTCTGCTACCCCACATTGAAGCTGTTAGCAACATCCACAACCTTAACTCTGTCCACCAGTCTCCACACCAACGACTCCACCGCTATGTGGAGCTGGCCTGGGGCTTCTCAACCGCCTTGGGCACCTTCCTCTTCCTTGCTGAAGTTGTTCTGGTTGGCTGGGTCAAATTTGTGCCCATTGGGGCCCCCTTGAGCACGGCAGCCCCCGTGGTACCTGCCTCCCAGGTACCTGGGACTCTGCCACCAGTGGCCACCTCCCTTAGTCCAGCTTCTAAGCCTCCTTCTGCTTCTGTAGCCCCGCCAGAGGCTAAGCCATCTGATGCCTGCCCACCCCAGCAAGCATGTGGTGGTGGTGGGGTCCATGGACCAGGTTGGCAAGCGGCCATGGCCTCCACAGCAATCATGGTACCTGTAGGGCTTGTGTTTGTGGCCTTTGCCCTGCATTTCTACCGTTCCTTGGTGGCACACAAGACAGACCGCCACAAGCAGGAGCTAGAGGAGCTGAGTCGCCTGCAGGGGGAGCTGCAGGCTGTGTAAGGTTGGTGTTAACCACTCTTACAAGCACTGCCTTCCTCAGGGGTCAGCCAGACGCCCCGCGTCTACAGACCACTCCTCCCTGACCCTGGAGGTACTTAGGTACAGACCAGATTCCTGGTCTCAGGATCCTTTGGGCTGGGACTTAGGGCAGCTCCCACATTCCCAGGGCCTGTCCTGTGGATTTTGTAAGTTCTACTCTACACCTGGGCTGGGAGGAGCAAGGGAGGAAGTGGAAGATCCTCAGTCCAAGGTTCATACAGTTGGTGGAAGGGAGGCAAGGCAGGGAGGCCCTGGTCAGAACTTTGGTGCTGCCCCTTAGCCACTGGCCCCTAACGGGTTGTGGAGATCAGGTTATACACCCACCCAGTTGCTCTAGAAGGCAGCCAACCCTTGTTTTAATTCTGTAGAATTTTAAAAAATTGATTTTAGAGAGAGAGGGAGAGAAAGAAACATCAATGTTAGAAAAACATCAACTGGCTGCCTCCCTCCTGTACACACCCTGACTAGGGATAGAACCTGCAGCCTAGGTATGTGCCCTGGCTGGGAATTGAATCCCAACCCACAACCCTTTGGTGTACGGACGACACTCCAATCAACTGAGCCAGGGTTTGTAGAATCTATTTTATAGTTGGCATTTATTGGGAAGCTTCTCCTCATTTCCAGATTTCCATGGGTTTCACATTCTTGTTTTAGTTGCTATAGAGAGAGATTTGGGTGTTTCTGCCCCAGGCATAGGTCTAGCCTTTCCTAGAAGGAGCCTCCGTATTTTTGGAGGTTCAAGTGCCAGTTCAGCTTCCTTAGACCCACACTTAATGCTTCTATATCTGATTCTCAGTCTTCTGTGCCAGGGTTGGGGGAGTCTTTGGAGTCTGAGGGCCTGTGCGCCCAGCTTGACACTTGGCAAGGGTTGGGATGAGGAGGTTTGAAGGGAGAAGGTCCAGTTTCTAACCCTTGCAATACAGAGCTGTTCTGCCACTGAATTTTTGATGCACCTTGTTTTGTGTAATAAATTGTATTTCACAGATGTCCCTGTGCCTGTAAACGGGGTGAAGGGGAGGCCTCTTTGGGATCAGGTGACTTGTTCCTAAGAGACCAGTAGAGGCAAGTGTACCTGGGTGCTGGGCAAGGGGGTGGAAGAGTAGGTTCCAGGTGTGACCCCCTTCTGATGCTGACAGGAGCCTGTAGTTTCTGAATGTAGAGACTAAGTTAATTCAAGGCAGAAGACTTTTGCACTCTGAGCTCAGGATCTCTATCTCTTCCATTGAGGATTTAGTGTAAGTTTGTTTTACGCTAAGTGTTTTTCCCTGAGTGACTACTATGCACTAGGGGCTTTTCATTTAACCCTCAGACCACCTCAAGAGACTTGAGTCTTTTTCATTTCCACTTTAGAGGTAAGGGGCCTGAGGCCTAAGAAGGCTGAGGATCTTTCCCAGAGCCACACAGCTAGGTGAAAACTTGGTCTACCTTTACCATCACATGGGGAATCCTGTTTGACTTGAGTAAAAGGAGACAATACTTTAAAAAAAAAAAAAAAAAAAAAAAAAGAACCTCTTGGATTATTTGTTGGTATTCTTGCGCTTTTTGAAAATTTTCATTTATTGAGTTTTAGAGAGAGAGAACCATCGACTTGTTCTATTTATTTATGCATTCATTGGTTGGTTCTTGTATGTGCCCTGACTGGGGATCAAACCTGCAAACTTGGCATATTGGGAGGATGCTCTAACCAACTGAGTTGCCAAGGCAGGAGCCAGTACCCTTCAACTGGGACAAGAGAAAGGAATATGATCTCATTACCCATGCTTCTGCATAAATTCACTTTTTCATCCTCATTTTCCTCAAAATTCAGAAGGTCCCAGTCCTATGTCTTCTATTCTTATGGTGTGAGACCATAAAAAAATCCCCCTTTTCTCTTCCTGTTACTTAAAATAGTGAACTTGCATGAACCAGGGATCAAGAGCCTTTCCTGTGTTTTTCAGATGCCTACAATAATCCTGCGTGACAGGAATTAATATCCATTTCAGAGTAAGACTGAATCTTTGAGTCAATGACTTGCCCAGGGTCATACAGCGAGAGATGTAGAGTTGTCTGGAACCTAGGACATCCTCAGTTCAAGCAGAGTGGCCTCCTTGGAATGTCATTACCTAGAGGCCAGAATACCTTGAGTCCGAGAAAGAGAGAAAGGGTGCCGAGCATCAGGTAACCTAAATCCCAGGGTCCCAGGGGTAGGCCTGGGTTGGTGCTGCCCCCCAGCGGCGCGACTGCGTAAGTATAGCGGACACCCCTCCCCCGCGACGTCCCGGTGAAATACGCGGGCACTGGGACCGCGATGCCTGGAGAATCGACCATCCCACCCTAGTTCCTGTAAAACCTAGTTTATTTTTTTACAAGACCCTATCAAGGGTATTTAAGCCTCGCCAGGTTTATCACAAAACTTTAAGAAAGCCTTCGGATTTAGTCACTAATGGTCGCCAACTACGGGTAAGATGCGAACCCTCCTCGGGCCTCAGTCTCCCCATCTGTCGAGTGGGCATCTTAAGCAGCTAGAGGCCCAAGGGGGATAACGGAAGCTAAACGTTCCCTGCATTATGTGCTGCGCCAGGCAAATGGCCCTGAGTCACCATTGTTGGTTGTATTTTTCCATCTCACAGGCGCCCCTCCCAGCCTGCCCGGGTTTCGGTGGGTCCTACGGGAAGCACCCCTGCGACGCCAGGCTCCGCACGCTCTGGCCACGCCCTCTGCGCACGGCGCCTTGGCTCCGCCCACAAAAGAATTCGCACATTCGCTAGGCCGGGTACTTAGAATTACTCAGGCACCCGGGGCTCGGCCGAAAATTCTCATCGGACTCCGAGAGGAGCTCTGGGCCATAGCCATTTTCCCCGGGTCAGAATTGGGCAGTTCTCTGAGTTGTGCTAGTAAGACTCTGCCAACACGGCTAACCAGGCATTATCTTCTTGACTACACCAAGGAGGGTAAAGGGAAGCAACAGCTGGGACCAGGACCTGTGACGAATCTGCAACGTCTAGGACGTTTGGCCGCGCAAGGGGCAGGAAAAGAGGAGCAAAGGAGCGCGCGTCCCGTCCACCCATTCGCCCCGCCCGCCTGACGAATCTGCGCCAGTTCGACGCGCCACTCAAATCTCCCCAGTTCTGGCTGGCCTATTCCCCTCCGCCCCGCCCCCTTTTCCTCAGGGATTAGTCGCTGCTTTCGTCGCCGCCGATTCGTGAACGACCCCAGGCCAGAGCAGCTGGATAGTCGTGGTGAAGCCCACTCTCCGGGGGATGCGGCCAATCTCCAGGCTACCTAGGCCGCAACTCTCGAGCCATATAGGGCGCCGGCCGTGGCGAAACCGCTATCCTCGGCCCCGTTGGTCTCTTGGTGGCGCCCGTGGCGAAAGTGCGAATGTCGACGCTGTGCCTGCTGGGCCTCGCGCAGGTGGCGGTGGTGTTTGGTGCGCGCGCCGGGGAGGTGGTGGTGGGGGGGCGCCGCCGCCGCCACCGCTGCGGGGCCGGGTCTCGCGCTGCCGCCGCCGCCGCCGCCGCCTCGCGCCACTAAGGTGCCGCGCGGGGTGGGGGGAGGGGGAGCCGCTCGACCAGAGCGGGTGAGTGGGGCCGCGCCGCGCGTGCGCGGAGATGGGGGGGCAGAACGCGCCGGGGCGGGAGGAGAGGGCAGCGGCGCGCGTTCCCCCTACTCCCCCGCCCGGATTCGGGGCCGAAGCCGGGTCTCGGGCTCGGTCTCGCGGTGTTTCCAACGCCCCGAATAGCTGCCACCTCTTGGCTGGAGGATCGGGGCGCGGGGACGCGAGCGGGTGTGTGGGAGCGGGAGCCGGGCTTGGCCCGGGCCGCTGGCCGGTGAGGAGGCGGGAGGGGGCGGGGCCTGCTAGGGGGCGGGGGAGGGGTTTTGCTCCGAAGGCAAGTGGGGCGCGCAGTAGGTAGAGCGGGGGCACGAGATGGGCCTGGTGGTCTTGAGGGGAGAGTTGGGAGGTGGAGAGAGAATGGGTTGTTACGGTGAAAGAGTGTACTTGGGGGAACATCTGGGGGAGCCACGGGTCTTGGTGAGGTGTGGAAACTGGGGTGATGAGAACACCTAGAGTCTTGGCTAGTCGGTGAGGGGCAGCAAGGAAGTCAGGCCTAAGACCTGAATCCCCTTGCCTATTTCTCTCTCGTAACAGTGTAAATGAGCAAAGATGGATCAGGAAGGTGGGGGAGATGGGCAGAAGGCCCCGAGCTTCCAGTGGCGGAACTACAAGCTCATCGTGGATCCTGCCCTGGACCCTGCCTTGCGCAGGCCTTCTCAAAAGGTGTACCGCTACGATGGAGTCCACTTCAGTGTCAACGTGAGTGCCCCAGGCCTCTCCTTGCCGTCTAGGAAACTCCTGGACCCGTTCTCCTGTTGGCTCTTTTCAGCATCTAGAACTTCCATACCGAAGGCCAACCTTCTTAAAAAGTGGCTAACTGGAACCCTGCTCTTTTGCATATGGGTCTACAGATGGGCTTCTCAGAACTCAAGAATGTGGTTTCACCTTGAGCTATCTTTCTTTTCCTGCTTTCCTTCCTAGGACTCAAAGTACATACCAGTCGAAGACCTCCAAGACCCCCGTTGCCATGTCAGGTCCAAAAACAGAGACTTTTCCCTCCCAGTCCCTAAGTTTAAGGTATGTGTCTACTAGTCTCCTGGTGTGGTACCCTTGGAGGGTGTGGAGGATTCATCCTGGCAGTTTAGTCTTAATTGAGCTCAATACGAGCTTTCCAGTGAAAGGATCACAGCCAGGTTTAATAGTCTCTGAGGCTGTGAGACTCAGTTGTTCTGGACAGGAAGTATGTTTATGTTCTTGAAAGGTATAGGTGAGGTGTCTCAAGCAGGGGTGTTGACTTCTTGAAGGACAACATAAAGATAGGTTTAGCTGCTGTACCTGTCACTATGCATTCCTAGATAGTGTGTAGTGTGACAGTTCTCTGGTATGATACCCCAGTTACTCAACAATTAAGGGGAGTGACAAGGCTAGGGGCTCTGTCCCTGCAGCCCTGTGTTTCTTACCTCTCACTTGGCCATTGGATCGTCCATCTTGTTTCCTAAGAGGATTCCCATTTCCCTGTCCAGCCAGGATACTCATCAGGCTTTGGGCTGGGCCTAGAAAACTGGCAGTTCTGTTTCCCTCACTAATTTCTTATTCTTCTTTGTTTTTAAATGTTTTTTATGGGGTTCCCTCACCTCTTTACACATTTTGAATACTTTCCCTGGGCAACTTTTTTCACATCCATGATTTTGCCTATTACCAAAATGCTCATGACTTTCAAATACCTGTTTCTAGCCAAGATCAATCTCAACTCCAAACATATATATGTCTGGTAGTGGGACAGCTCCATCTGGAGGCTCAATGGACATCTCAGACTCAAGAGATCTAAAACAAATTATCTTTACCCCTTTAATCCTGCTTTCCCTTTCATCTACTCAGCTGCACGGGCTAGAAACCTGGGAGTCATCCTATGATTCTTCTCGTCTTTATCTGTCATAGTTTGTCACAAAGTTTTGCTGACCCTTTTTGTCTTAATTATTCTATTTTCATTGCCATTTCTTTAATGCAGACTCTTGGAGTCATTTCACCTGGTTTCCTTGTTTCCATTCTCTTCTCCATTTCATCTTCCATCCTGCTGTCATTGTCTTTTTGATTTTACTGTTTTCTGATTTTACTTTTGTTGCCCAGTCCATGTTTTTGTGCACTGATGTGTATATTATTGATCTAAACCAGCCTCACTTCCTGCCTTGATACTGCACACCTGTGTTCCATCCTACTATATATTTTGCTATTTCTAGGAAATGCTAAGTTATTTTATAGTTTCATGCTCTTTAAGTTTTTGTCATTTTGGTGAACTCCTGTTTATCCAAAAAGCCCAGTATGAATGACACTATCTGTGTGCATGCTTCCTTGTGTCCACCCTGAACAAAGGTATCTTTCTGTGGGCTCCCAAACACCCTCTGTACACCTCTGCCGACACTTACTGTGTCATGTTAT